TTGTGAGGGCTGAAGCTGGAGCTGGGCTGGCAGATCCCCTCTCCCTGAGGGAGTCTGAGGGTTTCAGTTGGATTATTTACCTGTCCCACTCTGGCTTTATTGGCTCTGTGTAGGTTGGGGGGTGACAGACTCTGGGGAGATCCTTTTCTAGGAATTTACCAGAATTTAGCTCTCTTCCTGTTTGCATAGCAGGGTTTGCTTCCCCTGAAGGGAGAGGCAATGGCAAGTGCTTGGACTTGGATGTAACCCTTCATTTTGAGGGTACACATTTAAGAAACTGTCTACTTTATTTTGGGTTTTTTTGAATGGCTCCCTCCTGGCAATGCAAAACTTCTAGAAAATGTCACTAAAGGTTAAATTCTCCTCAAAACAAACCTTTTGTTTTTGTCTACGTATTACTGGTGAGTATTTGAGACTCGTTTGATTGTTTAATCAGGTGAGATATCTCATCTATGGCATGGCCCAGGTTTTTAATCATTAAAGAACATTTCCTTCCAAGCATTTGATGATTTGCTAACACAGCAATGATATGTTTGAAGCTGGTTTTCAGGCTGTCATTGAAATACCCCAGGACTGAGGTAGCATTTCTCTGGGTTTTGTTTAAGTATCTGTTGATGCTTTTCTTGCCATCCAGATGCAGTAGAACTGTTTTGCACTGCTGGGCCAGATGTGTGTAACCATAAATGTTAGAGACGAGGTGTTTGTCAGGTTTGCAGTTTGTGTACTGGCTATACCAGCACAGTATCCACAGGAGATGTGCAGGGTTTCCGGTAGGCTCAGAAAATTCCCATGATAGCAAGCAGTGGGATTGAATTTAAAGTTAATTCCCTTGCTGTAGCTCTGAAATTTCAATTGGTGCTACTAATTAATTTTTTTTCTTGTCAACAAGAATCTTTCTGCCATGACCTTGTTGGCTTGATTTCTTTCCTGAGCAGTTTACTACCTGTTAGCAGTCTCAGTGGAGGGCAAACCACTCCTTAGTCCATACAGGACTGGATTTTGACAAACAAGTCTGGGAATATACACAATTTTGCATAGTACAGAACAGTCCCAGCATGGTCTCTCCAACAGATTGTACTACTATGCTGTGGCACTGAGATGAAATCTTTTAATAAAAAGGACTTGATGTCAAGTACTTGGAAAATAAAAATTCAGAGCTATCAGTTTTGCACTTATTTATTTAATTTACAGGCAGGGGACAAATGTAAATATGTAGCAGCAGAAACTGGCATTTTGGATCCCAAACACACCCTTAGTAGGCTTTCCCCATTGGGGGAAAAAGCCTCTTTCCCATCTGTAATGAGCTTTTAACACTCCCCTCCCAAAAGCAAGCAAAATGTAATGGTCAGTGGTGTAGCAGGAATCTGAATCCAGTCTGGGCTTACCAGTGTTTGACTGGTTTGATTATTGCAAATGTTGTGAAACTTGGAGTATATTTTGCATATTTCAGCATAATTTTGAAAAATGCTAATTTGTTTATGTAAAAATTATATAACTGGGACACTTTATTAAACTGCAAATAGATTCTCTCAGTTTTGATTTTACCTCTAGGTAACATTGGAGTTTAACAAGACATTACATACAATTTTTTCCCCTTGTAATAATTATCCTATTTTAAAACATTAGGACTTTATATTTAGATATTACCTTCCTGTATGTTTCCATAGACATAGAAGAGTTGTTCATGGCACAGCAGAGACTATATGATGATTTTTAGGAATCAGTATCAGAAGCAGTTCTGTGCAGAAGGTTAATTCAATACATGTGTTATTGACATAGAACTGCTAATGTGGGGCAGTTGAGGTGAACTAAGTCAGGCTCATGGTGAAGGAGCCACTCTGGCTTATTTGTTTACATATATTTTCTTTGTAAATGTGAGTTTAGAGGGTTCTTCTGTGTTAAGCAGCAAAACTGATCTTTGTGAAGTGCTGGGTTGGTGTGGTAGGAGCAGAACCTTTGTGCCAGATCCACGTGGCAGCTGGACTGAAGGCTCAGCCTTGTCTCCTGTGACTGCCACGTTGAGTCACCACAATATAACATACCCTGGGACATGGAGCACTCTAAAAGTAGCTACAGCATTTGGCCACACAAAAGAGTGTTTTTATGCAGAATTACAGGGCTTGTAATATCCCAGAGGTCGAGTAGTTTTCCTGTCTGCACAACCCACAGTCCTTGTCCATCTGTGAAATACCAAATTAGATTGAATAAACAGATTTTTCTTACTGTTTTACTTCAGATCATATTTAATGTAGTAGTGCCTCTCCTGTAGCTGGGAACTGAGGAGGACCCTGCAAGGGTATTTATTTACTTTCCTGGTAGTGGTCACAAATATTTGCCTCCATTATGATTATACATCAGATATACTCTGGTCATGGTTTCCATCAATACTGCCACTGAAAAGAAACCCCAAACCCCCCAAAGTCAAAAAAAACTGGAGAAAATGTGAAATCCGGGAGACAACCTGCTCTGGATGTGCTTCCATGCAGGCACTTTCCAAGGAAATTCTGATGATGTTAATGTCCTCTTGTTCTTGAGCTCTGTGTCTGTATGAGCAGCATTCCCAAAGCCCTCCCTTGTTCCCAGAGCCCTCCCTTCCCTGACTGTGTGTGCAGAGCCCAGGCTCTGTCCCTGCAGGGCCAACCCCAGGGGCCTGTGCTGCCCTCAGCCCTTCTCCAGCACAGCCAGGCTCTATCCTGGGCCATTCCTTGGCATTCTTGGGCAGGGAGACACCGAGTCCATCCCATCAGACCTGTGCACGTGGGCACTGCCCGATCCCCAGTTATTTGTGATTGATGGAAATGTGGGTGATGGGTTCAGGGCCTTGGCAGGCACTCCATGAGGGCTGCACAGGAAAGTCTAAAGCCAATTTGAGTTGACTTCTTTTTCTCAACTGACTGTAATTTACATTTGGATGTTCAGCTTTTAGACTTAAATCTTTTGTGCTTTTGGGATAGAGATGCTGAGATTATTCCATCTGCTGTAGTCAGTAAGGGGATTACCAGCAGCACGTCCCTGCTGTAAGGCAGAGCACTCTCCAGGCAGTGTTTTCCCTTCAGTGTGCTTGCTGTGGATGGCACTGAAAGGCATGTGACAGGAGCACTTGTTCCCTGCAGCATGAGACACTGCAAATCAGTACAGTGGTGGAGACTTTTTATAGTTTGCAGCATTGAAGAGAAACCCCAGTTTTGAATTACTAATTTTGGAAAATATGGTTCCTACACCTGCCTGTCCTAGATAGCAGAGGAAATAAACTGTTTCCCACTTTTCTATTGGAATGGCATATGTTGCATAAAAAAAGCTGGAGAGGATGTTCCTTATGATTCCCCCGTGACAGTGAGACATTCAGAGCCAGGGAGCCTGAGGGAGGAGGGATGGGTCTGTGCAGGGGAGCTCCTGCAGCAGTCACTGAGAGCCACCCAGCAGAGCAGCCCATCCTCTGAGGCTGCTGCAGTCACTGAGAGCCACCCAGCAGAGCAGCCCATCCTCTGAGGCTGCTGCAGTCACTGAGAGCCACCCAGCAGAGCAGCCCATCCTCTGAGGCTGCTGCAGTCCCCTCAGCTCAGGAGGGTCTCCTCATGGAGGAGCAGATGCAGCAGTGATTGCCTGTATATTCCCTGTTTTCCTCTGCCTTCACCCTGCCTGAAGCAGGTTGGCTGAATGGGAACAGCAATAAAAACACCATCAATATCCATTTGGAAGATGGTCTAAAAAAGGACTGAACAGACTGAAGACAGAATAATGCCAGTTGTTTATTACACGCTGCCCTGGCTGGCACAAACCCTCGAAAGATAACAAGGCATTGTTGAGTACAAATGACTTCTAAATTCACTTACTGCAAAGCTGACTTTCCAGTTATAAAGTGAATCAGATGGTTCTTGGATAGCTGAAAAACAACAAAACCAACCAAGCTTACAAAACTGTGTCTGTATGAAACGGAGCTCTGCTTGTTATTTAGAGGTGTCAGATAAGATTGGAGCCTGGCCTTGTGAAGGAGAGTTATCTGTGGTGGTGTTTTCTGAGCCTGGGTACAACTTTCCTCTGTGGGCATTTTGTTTAATCCATGCAGTATTGCCACATTCACTGTCAACCAGAAAACCATACACTCAAACTAGTTGCCTTCCACAATCCAAACCTTGATCCTCACATCGTTGGGAATTTTGGTTTGCAGCTGTGTAAGTCTTCAACGGCCAAAACTATCAGTAAAGTTGAAAACCTAAACCAGAACTTGATTCTAATTTGCCTGTGTGTCCACCTACAAATACATTTTAAAAAGATTGTAACATATGCTAGAGATGAGGAATTGCTGCATTCTGGTTTCCCTGGCAGCCCTGCCTGTTCTGTGTGTAAGAGCAGGAGTCCACGTTGTATTCATCTACCTGCCAGGCACGGGGCTGCTGCTGGAGCTGAAGGATGTAAACCCTGCTGAGGAATCCCAAGAGTCCCCAACACCTTTGTAGAAGAATGTAAAAAATCCCTTCAAATCCAAAACTTGCTGTAGAATGGAGAAAACATTGTCAAAATCGATATTTATTTCATGTTTCACCCTTTTCTCAGACTCCCTTGGAATTTTTTCTTTCTGCATTCCAGTTGTACACGGATACCAAGCCCATTAGGCTGCTGATAATGTTAGTTTTATGTGGCACTGGAGTGGTGAGCCTGAATCTGGCATAGGAACAAGGGCTGGGATGCAAAAGAATGACAACACAAGGGGGACAGAGAACCAGTGGGACTGCAGAGAACAGGAGAAAGTCAAATTTTTGCACATGTTGCACATCAAAATCAAAACACTGAACGTGGCAACTGGGAAAGGTGTCAGTGTGCTGGCAGCAAGCCCCAGTGATCCCAGTGAGCTGCAGAGTCTCTGGGGTTTGTGTGTGAGTGTTTTCAGTGCAGCTGCTGGGCAGTGGGGAAAGAGGCCAGCACAGAGGCTGCACAGACAGGCCTGGCAGAGAGTTCTGAGAGCTCTTCCATTAATCACCTTTTTATCTCTTCCCTTCCAGGTGCAAGTGGGAAGTACACCTCAGGACCAAAGAATTGTGGGATACATTTCCTGCACTCACTTGCAAGCTATTGCAGGTACTGTCCTCATGTGCATCCCTCAGTTTGTCACTGTTCCCAGCCCTGGGGGGATTCCTGTGCAAAAGGAGCACGTGTTGCTCCTCCTGTGTGTCTGACAAAGTGCAGGGAGCAAACAAGGGAAGACAAGTATCCCCAACCTTTCCCATTTCCAGTCTCAGAGTAATTAAAGTAGCATAGGACACAAACCAAAAATATCCCTCGAGAGCTTTTCTTCTCTTTGCTCCCTCTTAACCAAATACTGTTATTTTAGAAATACATAACTATCATTGTTACCCAACAGCATTTAACCCGTACTGTGAGTATAAACCAAAATTTCTTTGTATTGGCTAATCAGGGGATAATCAGAAGATACAAGTTGGGCCAGTTATTCTAGCTGCTGATTTCTGATGGAAAAAGCCAAAATTCTCTGGGTTTTGACTTTCAGATTTCATAGGTAAATGACTAGCAGGTTAATGCACTCAGACATAGGAATGGTGGAACTTCCCACTGTGCTGGGCATGTCCTGGATCCCCCTGCCAGGCAGCCAGTGCTGCTGCCCTGGCACTGCCTCAGTCACAGGGACCTGGGAACAAAGCTGCCAGTCTGTGCTGGGGACACAGTCCCTGAAGTGCATTAGAGAGACTGCAGAGTTCTAAAAAAGACTAATGAATTTTTCAGCTACTTTTTAACGATGTAACATCCTTCTCTGCTTTTCTATTTTTAACTTGTGGTAATGTGCTGTGAGATTGCTGTTGTGGAGCTGAGATTTGTTGCTGTTCTAGTTTAGTTTTCTTTGGTTTTTATTTCTAGTTTTCAGTCCTGTTCCTTTTTACTTCCTAGTCTTGAATTCTCAGTCCTTGATAGCCACATGGTGAAATCCCTAAAATATTAAGAGGAAGAGGATGGGGGGGAAGCAATGTTCTATTTTCAAAGTCAGCCTAAAGCTTCTTCAAGGGTAAAACACAATCTTTCATTTTCATGCTTTGCATTTTTAGGCTTATCTGGTTCAAAATACATTGAAATAGAGCAGACAATGATTTAAGAGTCTGTCCTTAGATATATTATATTTGTTTCTGTAATGAAGTGGAAAACTAACATTCATTAAGTTTGGCAGAGCTGTGCTTTCTGATTTGCATCATCTAATTCAGAACATTTCACACATTTAAAAAATTATCCCAACACCCCAGTTCAGCAATGGAGAGATGTGGTATCTATAAAAACTAGCACTGTTTAAAAGGTCAGCCATTTAAATCATCTTGTGGCTGAGCACAGCCTGGTTTCCCTTTTAGGATACACAAACTTACACTTGACAGTTCTGATACTTTGAGTATGAAATGAAGTGATCCAACTGCTTATCAGGGACCAGCTACTAATGCTTTTTTCAAGAGATGTGATGGCTCAACTCTGCTCTGAGCAAGTGCTATTTTTTCAGACCTGACCCTCAACTTTTTCAAGAACCCTTGGAGTGAGCTGTGGCTTTCCCTCTCAGCTCTGTGCCTGGGAGGGGTTGCTGCTCTGAAGCAGCTCTTCCTTCCCACTGTGGAAAAAGCTGCATTTCAGCAACAAATGAAGGGATCCTTTAATGAGACTTGATGTAATTATCTTCCAAGGGCTGTTAAGGTTACATGGTTCTCTTGTGTCTCTTGATCAGTCAGTGATTAATGTTCTGGGCAGGTTTTGCTGCCTTGAATCCACCCAGTTCTAACTAAATCCAGAGTTTCACTTAAGCATTTTAGTGAATGGAAAGGGCAAGTATGATCATTCTACAACTAACAAAGGAGAAGTATTTATTTATGCTGGCTGAGGTTTCCCACATTACCCTTTCATCCGTCCACAAAATTTGAAGCTGGAAGGAACTTTCAGAGAATTTGGAAATGCTGACTGCAGGAAGCACTCACAACACAATTATGTGCATTTTTCCAGGCCAGTTACTGAGGAAAAGAGCACATAGCAATTAGGACAAATCTGTATTCTCTGGTTAATCCCTGGTGGCAGTCAGTCAGATCAGTGATTCTGTCTGAACATTTAAGAAGTTGAACATAACTGTTGGGAGTTACTACCTGTTCTCTTCTGTTAATATTTACTGATGCTATTTACTGATTGCATTTCAGTAGCAGCTTCTGAAATGTCTGTTCCCCTGATTGTTCTGGATGTGGGTTTGGCTTCTCTTTTACTTACGTGTCTGATTAGTTGAGTTCTTTTCATCTCCAAAGCTCTTTGGGAGCTGCTAAAACTTGAGTGTGACTTTTGCATACAGATACAGCTGTACCTGCTGAGCAGCTGCAGTGAGCTGGATAACACCTATCCTGGAAAACAAGTGCCATTAGAGGGATCCCACCCTGTGTCCTGGAAATGTAGCTGATTTCACTGACACTGCTCCTGACAGTGACCCAAGTGCAATTACCTTTGTGACTTCTAGTGGGGATAGTCAGGGGTGCCAGACTGTCACAAGTTCTACACTTCTGCTCAAGAGAGATGGGAGTCCTCTGTTTCTAGAGCTCCAAGGCTCCTGTTTCTCTGTGGAGCCCTGAGGTTGGTGCTGGACAGTGCAGTTACCCAGGCTCAGCATCCTCACTGAGAGGTGTCTGTCACTATGCAGGTAATGCCTTTTTAGGAACAATTAGGCATGTTATCAGACACAACATCCTCCTAAAATATTTTTGTCTCTCTGTCTCTTGTTTTTCTCGAGAGTTTTCTCTTGTGGAGAATTTTCCCGTGGTGTGTTTCAGTTCAGTGGCCTTGCTGCATTCCTCAAGCTGATCTGTACCAGGTTGCTGCCTGAGTTTCATGCCCATGTGGTAATGGCTGTGTTTTTTAATTACTCATCTTGGTGAAGCCATGACAGATAATTCACATAAAATGAGAAAAAAACTCCTTGACTGTTCAGGGATGTAAAAGCCAGTCTTAGAAAATTAAGTAATTTATGTAATTGGGACTTTGTGGGGAACAAGGTGTTACTGCATCCTCGTTAACAAGCACCATGCTTAAGAGCTGCATTATGGGGAAACAAGAGTAGCCACAAGTACAGAGAGGAGAGAGAATGAGAGGAGAGAATGGTTGAGATACTTCAAAAGGAGAACAGTCCACCAACTTGAACAAGTTTCACCAGGAATGAGAAAGCTGGGACAGCTTCGGGAGGGGAAAGCTCTTGTCAAAGTGTGTAAATACTGGATAGGAGGGTGTGAGGAAGAGGGAGCAGCCTCTCTTCAGTGGGGCCCAGGGATGGGATGGGAGGACATGGCTGAAAACTGAAATGCCATTTAAACAACGGAAAATGGTTTTAATTGCAAGGATGACTGAGCACTGAACAGGCCACCCAGAGGTTTCCTCCAGCCTCAGGGGATTCCAAACCTGCCTGGACATGGTTCCTGGCAAAGCTGTGGTGGGTGACCCCGCTGGAACAGGAGGGTTGGATGGATGGTCTCCAGAGGGCTCTTTCCCGGGCTCACATTGCTGTGGATCTGGAGCTTTGCTGTGTCTCTGGTTGAGCAGAATGTCTGTGTTAGTCACGCACACCTTTTGTGTGAGTGTCACCTGCCCCGGGCTGCATTTCTTCCGTGTGACCCATTTCCTGGGCCTTTGTTTGGCTGCATCTTCACTGTGGGGCTTCCTTGTGCTGTCATAGCAAGGGGTTTTCCTGGGAATGCACTGCTCTGGATTTGTGTCAATGAGTAGTGTATGATGTGAACCTGAGGCACGAGTCACCAGAAACTGCAGGTTAGGGATAGATCTGGGAACCATTTTATCTGCTTTTGTATTACAGCCCAACTGCTAAAGATTTGCTGGGAATAGCACAAGCAGAAAAAAAAATCAGATTATTTGCTGTTGGAATTAGCAACCTGAAGAGATGAGTCAGTTTAAGAACCTACTTAAAACTCTCTTTCCCTGGTCATGTTCTTTTCAATATTTAAATTATTTAGCATTGTACCAAGTCATGCTTGGTTGAACATTTCTGTCTGTATTTAACTGTTGTTTTAACACCTTTCCCCCACCCCTGCCCTGAGATGTTTTTGAAAACCCAAGCCTTGGAGTGGAGTGACTGTACTGCAGAGCTCACAGTTGAACAGTCTGAAGAGTGCAGTGAGAGCTGCAGTTGAGATGAGTGATTCCTGAACTGTGTGCAGGTGGACTCCAATATTCACCAGCTCCATAATGGCCACTGCAAGCAGCTCCAGACATATGGAACTGATGTTTTCATTAGGTTTTACATCTTTTTAATATCTAGCACAAAGTTAAAATAAAATTCTACTCAGAATAAGTAATTTTGGGTTAGCTGCTTTTCCTTCTGATTGTGGTATTTGAAAACAAATCCTTTATTTTGAAGAAAAGTAACGTTGCTCTGGCTCGATACATCTTTTCAAGTCTGAAACAAGCAGAATGATAACTGTTAACTATCAGTACAGTGAAAACAAAAGAAAAGGAAAGACAAATATGGTAAAGAATTATTTCTAGAATATATCTCTTTCTGCTCCTTTCCCCACATCAAGCTTTTGGTGTAATCATTTTAAAAGAGAGACAGTAATAATTTTTGATTAGGCTTCATGTCACCTAATGTTCTTGAAGTTAAGTGTGGTTAGTTGCTGTAATTAAAGAGCTGGTTTGTGTGTCAGATGTTTTCACAAACAAAAACTATTTGGCAACCAATCAATCTCAGCCCTTTCATATCACTCCTATAAAACAGGGCATGTCCTGGTGAAAGAATCCAGTTCTTTATTTCTGAATTCCTGCCTACCTAAATATGCATCTAACACATACCTTTAAAATTATGAAAAAGTACTTCCAGTTCAGGCATTCTTATTTGAACACAAACAGAACCCTTCCTCGGATGGACTGCTACAGGATGAGTAAATTGAATTTACCATTGATGTATATTTACTATTTACACTTGAAAGTTAAACTTTTCATTTTTCAAAATTAGAAAGCAAAGCAAGATCAAGTGATTTACCCCAGAACAGACTGTCTAGTTTTGTCTGAAGTAGGATTTTAACTCTGAATTCCTGATCACAAATGTAATGCATCAGCTCCTCCTCTGGCTGGAAGCATCATCCTTTGGGCTGGTTGTCTGCAGCACAGGGGCCTTGTCCTCTCATTTCTTCAGACGAGCCTGGCAGGGTTGGTTCCAGGAGGAGACACTGAAATCACCCCAAGTGTGGTTCCTCAGGTGAAGCACTCTGAGTGCACCATTAGCCACCATTCCTGCCTTGCAGCCTTTCCTCAGTGTCTGCCAAGAGCTCAGCAGCTCCCACGGGGCTGAGCCCCTGCAGGGCCCACTCCTGGTTTGGTTACTGGTGTCTGTGTTTGCTGCAGGAGACACAACTGTTCGATGTGAGCAACTGGATATGCTTCAAGATTGGCTGTCTGAATTCAGAAAATCTACCTCCTCCTCCAGCACAGCCAATCCAGAGGAGCTGGTGGCTTTTGATGTCATCTGTGGAGATCTCAACTTTGACAACTGCTCCTCTGGTAAGACAAGGTTTGCCTTTTCCTGGTGTCTGTTCAGAAAGGAACAGGAATGTTCTTGATCCCTGTGGACTACAGCAGTATATTAAGACTGGCTTTTGCAAGGAAAAACTTAATTGCTACAAACACTTCTAAAATAGCTTTAAGTGTGAGTTACTCTCCTTGGCTCATCCCATGAGCTCTGTGGAGTTATTAAGCATGATGGGTTTGAAGGCACAAAGAGCAATGATTTGTGACTTATGTAGCAGTAATGAGGACAGATACAGTGGTTTAGCTTTACTTGAATTAGGTAGACACTTATTGTCCTACAGTTTTAATTACTAATGAGAGACATGTACGTTATGGGACATTCATGCAGTTAAAAATAGTTTCATAGTGCATGTACACAGACATAGGAGTAATGCTGAGAGAGAACTCAACATTGCTGAATCAGTCTTGGAAAAAAAGTAACTGATGCTATGTAGTTTCAGGTTTTTTTATTTTAAGAAACTTTAAATCTGTTATTTTCTTTAATTGGATGCTGAGAGTACTTGAAAAAGAACTCCACAAAACCATAATTAATGGGTGGTGAGTTCACAGAAATGGAAACCTTTTCCAAACATCAATATTATGCTCTGTTAACAGTTCAGTTGCATTGTGTCTGTGCATCCCAGAGCTCTGTGCTGGTTTGGAGCTGGGGCTGAAGGGGCTCTTGTGTCACTGAAGTGCTGCCCCAGAGAGAGCCCAGGGCAGGGGCAGGAGGGGTCAGTGCACAGCTCAGCATTCCAAGGGGGATTCAGCAATTTAGAGCAGGGGCTGTGGATGACCAGGTGCATTTGGGGAACAGCATCCAGTGTGAATTCTGTGGTCTTTATGAGAAGCCTCAGGTAACTTAGGCAGAGAGCAACAACTGTACCAGAAACAATTTTAAGAAACAAAAAGCAAGCATTGTCTATCTAAAAACCCCCACTATTGCCTCTGATCTCATTACTTGCATCAGACACTTGAAATGGAGGATTTTAGCAAAGTTGTAGAAACATTTAATTGGGTAGAAAAGACCATCAGCCAAACCCCCAGCCCTTCTGTCACTCACTTCCAATTCATATGGACAAGAAGTAAATCAGTCCCAACTGTGAGACCCAAAGTAAACTCAGAATGGTCTGAGAAGGTGCTGGCAAGTGCTCTGAGTGGGACAAGAATCCCTCCTGCACGTGGAGGGGATCAGGAAGTGCAGAGGCTCCAGGAAGCTGCAGTTGGACAAACACACCTTAGGAGAAAGTCCAGTGGCAGCAGTGGCAGAGAAGTGCTGAGGGAATGAGAGAAGGAAGGAAGGGATGAGTGCCAGCCCCTGAGCTGCCCAGGCAGGGCAGGGAGTTCTGAGGGGATGCAGGAGGAAGGAAGGGATGAGTGCCAGCCCCTGAGGTGCCCAGGCTGCTGCCCAGCCTGGCCCAGGGGCAGCAGCAGCAGTGCTGGCAGAGGCAGCAGGAGCTGCAGGACACAAACTGAAGCCTGCTGGGCTCTGGCCCTTTCACTCACAATCCTTGGGAGGGATGGAGTGGCCTGGAGGCAAAGGTGTCCATCAGGAACATAAATAACAAATGGGAGAGTGCCCAGGCAGCTCCCAGATCCAAAGGGGATGGGGAGAGAGGGGAGCCAAGCTGGGAGGCAGAACATATGCTCAGGACTCTCCACCTGAGGAGTTCTGGCTCCCTCCCCAGGGTCTTGCATAAGAAGCAGAGTAGAACTGGTGCAATCCTGAGCTGTCGTTTTAAATAAAAGGTAAAACCGACTATTTGCTTTTGCAAATAATAGTTGTAAGCATTGCAGCTACTGCTAAAGAGGGTTGAAAAGCAAGTTAGAAGAACTTATTTTATTTTTGCTATCTCTGACACTTACTTACATTGCCCTCCCCTTTAAAATGCACTCAGCCTGGAAACTGGCATTAAGCTGGCTATTTAATTTTTTACTTTTAGATTGCTTTCTTTCCTTATGTGCTAAGCAAGATTAATGCAGTGTTTCAAAGTTCTCTCCTCCATTTTTACATTACTCATTGTTTTAGGGACATTTCTAGCATTATAGGTTAATTGAACATTTTAGGTTTTTGTAAAGCAATAATCAGCTTCCTGTAATTCTCTTTATGATTTTCTGTGTCCTTTCCCACTCCACAGACTGATACAGCAGCTAATTAATGTCTCAGTGAATACCAAGCTTCTATTCTTAGTTGTATTGACAGTACAGTTTTCGAAGATATTCAGATCCATGAGTGACCTTATGCTTATGACAAATTTTCTGCAACTCAGTTTTCCCCTCCAGCTTTACAGAACATTATGGCAAATTCATACAGAGAATTCACACTTAGTGGAAATGTTATTAGACAGTTACTTACTGTCATGTTGCTTTGGACTGAATTGTTTTTAAACCTTTTAGCATAAGATAAAAAGCTTTCCAATCAGATGGGTAAAGTTTTGTGTCACCAGCTGTGACTTATCATGGTCCCAGTTGCAAATTAATCATTTTTAATCTATCTTGGTTTTCAGGGAAATTCTGTTGACAAGGGAAAACTTGGACAAACAAAAAATTGTAAAGATTTCATCTTTTACTTTTCCATAAACATTAAACAAGCCAATTGGCTGTTCAGACAGAAAAAGCAATTCTCTGCATTGTCTACCTGGCAAACTTTGGGGAGGATCAGTCCTCCAATCCTCTGCCACAACTCCAGGATTCCCTGACAAATCAGTTTTTCAGTCTCCCTGCAGTTGTGAGGATGTTCTCCAGATTGAGAGTGAGCTGGAAAGGTGTAATGGCACAGCTGAGCTGGTGTGGGTGCAGCAGCTACAGCACAGTCAGCTGTGTGAATGACTGAATAAGGAAAGGCAAATGATTGCCACTGGGAGCCAGCCCAGTTGTCCACTGGTGACCCATCCCAACAGGAGTTGGGTACCAGTGCAGGCAATGCCATGGCAGTGGGAGGAGATGCACTGGAAAACTTCCACTGCAATTTAGAGCTAAAAACTATCAGAAAGGCCTTTCCTAGAAAAGCCTTGGTAGCAAAGCACTGTTATTAGCAAGCATTTGTTGGGATTTCTGGCCAAGGCGAGCTCCTGCTGAGCAGTAAAGCTGCTCTGGACTGACTCAAACCAAACCTGAGTATTTATGGAGGAGAAAGGGGGCCTTGCTGAGCCTGTGGTGCAGAACACACAGCTGGGCACGGGTGATGGACCTTTCCTGAGGGTTGTTCTTTCCCTGCAGATGACAAGCTGGAGCAGCAGCACTCTCTGTTTACACACTACAAAGACCCCTGTCGGGTGGGACCTGGGGAGGACAAGCCCTGGGCCATCGGTAAGAGCTCTGCAGCCCTGGGGTGGGGACACTCCTGTCTGTCTGTCTGTCTGTCTGTCACACACAGCTCAGGCAGCAGCAGATCAGCTCACTGGCAGTAAGAGTTTGGTGGAGAACAAAGATTTGTAACATATATTTTATAAACCTTGACATACGTTGTTGAATTATAATTAAGACCCAAAGGTCTCAAACTGCAGTCCACATTCTAGAGCTCACATCTCAAGGTACCTGAATTCCTCCCCCCACCTATCCTGCTTCTAAAAAAATCTCCAGATTACCTGGGGGGGAGGAAGCCAAATTATTGTTTCTGTACTGTGTGCCTGCAGTGAGAGCCTGCAGCTTCTGATCAGAATGTTCCATTTGGTGTTCCATAAATACTGTCAGTGAGGATGTAACAAAGCAAATCAACACCACTACAAACTTGTAGGGTTTGTATTATAAAAGATTTCACGGAACTCCAAGGTATTAATTCCTGGTGCAACTCAGTTGAAAAGTTTTAGATCAGGAATTAATAGTGTCTCTAGAGCAGCAATAATAACTATGAAGATACTAAAGATAAGTGGAATTGTTTAAAAGTGGGGCTTTACTCTGTGGTAACAGAAAAACAAATCAGAGACAGCAGAGCTGAGAAAGTGGAAGGGTGGAGACATTTTGCAGGGTGGCAGGGAGGTGTGGGGAGAGGAGTGAACAGGACATGCTCCAGTCAGAGCAGTTCCTCTCTCCCACCCAGATCCTGCCTTGCACAGCTGTGCCTGGGGGAGCCTCCCCAGCACAGCACAGGGGGAATGCTGGGCACTCACATCTCCCTTTGTGTTCACAGGCACCTTGTTGGATCCTGAAGGATTATATGATGAAGAAGTGTGCACCCCAGACAACCTACAGAAGTAAGCATTTCCTAATCTTTCCACATGTTTGAGACAGTTGTGTAAAAAGGGGGTTCATCACTTGCTATTCAACATTTCACAAATCGAGGGGTGGTTTATGGACCAGAAGACAAAACAAAGTTTAACTCAAGGGTGTTTGGGGAAGAGGAAAAAAGGGAGAGTGGCTGTGTCTCCAGGTCAATGGGGTTGGCTGCAGTGGATGAAGAGCTGAGAGCAGCTGCAGTGTCTGTGTCTCCAGAGCTGCTCCTGCCTGGACAGGCCCACAGGACAGGGAACTCCAAGCACTGCCACAAAGGGTGGGTGGACAGCTTGGCTGAAAGTCTTTCTGCAGGCACAGTTCTGTGCTCACAGCACTGTGAAGGGCAGCAGCAAAAGCAAGTGTAGTTCTCCTCAGACAAAAAGCCCATGAAGTTTAAAACCCCATCCCCAACCCAACTGCTGCTCACAGTCCCCATGGTAGAGACCCTGCAGAATTCCATACACCTGAACCCCCCAGCTCACAAATAGAGGAATCAAACAGCACATCAGACAGAACCAGGAATGTGGCTTAATATCCTTCAGTGATCAATAGTGCAGCATTACTCTTAAGGAGTGTTTGATATTGAAAAACAGGTGTCTTTGGATTGAGCTAGTGGAGTTATGAAAAATACAAAAAATCCTTCACTTGCCAAAGTCTTAGGATAAATTCCTTGAATACCTGTACTGTTTGTTAAACAATATTCCAGTGGAGAGAAATTAATAAGCTTTGTAAATTTTAGAGCAGCACTTAATGAACATGGCAATCCTTTTTGCACCTTCTCTACCTTGAAGGGGAGTTTACTGGACTAAATACATTATCATCATGACTAACTATAAAGGATGTTCTAGCTGTTTGTTACCAAAATAATACTACAGAGGGAAAGTTATTTGAATTAGCAAGTCTGTGCTGATGTTTCTGTTGACACACGTAATGGCATTTTAACTTACCTCTGTGTGGAATAGATGGACACTTGGTTGAATGGGTTAGGTGAGGTCACCCCCTGAAGTTTTCTTTGTATCAGTTTGAACAAAGAAACAGAATTCTAGACATCAGGTCTGGGCTTAGTTTATGTCCAAAATAAAGATTTGCTACAGCAAGTCCCAGTTGGCACATTTGAGAACTTGCAAAATTTCCAAACAGTTCTACTCTTATGTTGAAAACATAAATTTGGTACATGTGAAAGGGATTTCTAGAATGCAAAAATAAGGTGATTTGGCCCTACAATCAAGTTTGCAAATGCAAATCTCTATGTGGGTGTAACATTCCATTTTATGGTTCCAAGAGCAGACTTGGAGCTCTTTAAAAAAAAAAACCCAAACCAACACAACCTAAAAAAACCCCAAAACGAAAGAAACAAACCCAAACAAACCCTGTACTTCCGAGAGGCCTTTTCAGACCATGTGTCACTAAATTACTTTTGGGGTATTGTACTTTATTCCCTGAAGAGTTACTTGTGTTCAGCAATTAAGTTCCACCAACAAACATGACTGATTGGATAGGGAGCCATCAAATGATCCATAAGGATTTAAGAATGTTACTTCTGCTACCCCTGTGTATGTGCAGCACCTCAGGATGTGAGAACTGGAAAATATTCTGGAGCCTTGGGAACAGAACACACGTAAGAGTTTTCCCTGCTAAGTGTGGCTTTCGGTTTTCTGCAATGTGTTATAATTCTTTTGCACTGATGAAAAAAACCCTCTGTGAGACCATAATTTCCACTGGCTTTTCCTGCAGCTCTGCAGGGAACAGGGATCTGCAGGGGTACATTATGTGCTCTGTGTTAGAGCAGCCATGGTTTCCAGGGGAGGGTGAGGAGCCCTCCTGACTCTGCAGGGGCTGCAAACAGGACACCTGCCAGGAAATTCAGGGAAATGTAAAGCAATTAATGGAATCTGAGCTTTAAAGACATTTAAATGGTAAATAGCACAGTAGCTGTGGGGCACTGTCTAGTTAAGAAATATTGTTCATATACACAGCAAACCAGGGTACTGCCTAAAATTGTCCAGTCTCAAATTTTTCAATAATGAACCTTAATCAAGCTTTACAGAGATTTAGATTGGCAGTGCAAGCTATCCAGAGAATTATTTCTTCATCAGCACTCTTCTCTACTTTATAAATAAAATTAAGTAGTTCACATTACTAAAACAATTAGGCCATAAAAGCAGCAGAACAACTCGTTCTTAAATCTCTCTTTCATGTTAAGGGCAGCACACGTAAAACATCAGACTGGAACAACATACTTGGTACAAATAATGAGCAAGTCATTGATAATTATAGAACAATTAATTAGATAGATGTAACAATCTGGGCCCTGCCACAGTGCTGGAAACCACACAAGCTTCTGCTGAGAAAGGCTTCATGAAATGCTCACAAATAATCCCATCTCACAAAGGTGATTGTCATCTTCAGGCCCGTTTTCATCTCTGAACCCTGAACAGAGGCCTATGAACACAGCACAGCACAGCTAAGAAACAAGATTCAGGTTTAGTTGAGCAACTCAGTCATAATTAATTCTGTTCACTCAATTAGTGTTGAACTGTTGCACAGCAGAGCCAGATGTCCACACTTGTGTCTCCTTCCTGGAGGGACCAACAGCAAACTCCTGTGCAGGGGCAGGACCAGCTTTAGACAGCAGCAGATGCTGCACATTTACAGTTTGTTTCCTTCATGTGTTTGAAATGAACATTTCTCTTCTGTGAGCAGTTGTGCAGGTTAAGTGAATACCCAGCATTCACAGACTTTAAAAAAGACATAATTGAAGCTAAAAAAAAAATCATCTATTAAATTAATGCAAATAAGATTTTTTTGCAGTAGTACTGCAGTGCTAATCAGCAGTTTCTTCTACTTTGTTACTTAATTATCTTTGCTAAATATAAATATAATTTTTGAAAGAGGTCAGTCCCATCAAAGAACTTGCTTCCTTGAGCCTAGAAGAACAATCTGAGGAAGTGAACCATTTGCAATAGCTCTTTGTAGAATCATCTTGCAAATAGGGTGCAGAGAGTAAGCTAATTTCTTGTGAGTTATTATTAAAACCAAGTAACACATGAAAGAAAGTTTACTTGCAGAAACTGATTACAGTAAACTCTAAGAACCTTCAATACCTCACTAAGTCCAAAGGAGGTCAAGCAAAGTTGTGATTAAATAACTGTATGATCAGAATGTTGTCTGTTACCTTCTGAAGGCACATTAAGTGCTTCTCCTATGTATCAATTGACCCAAACTTACAGATTATAACACTACTGAGAGCCAATCACCTGCAGCCAGTGCCCCTCTGCCACCACTCAGGTCCTTCCAGAGACCAGATTTGCCAAAGAAGCCATTTGAATCTCACCCATTAAAACATATCATGACAGTCTGGTGTTTGTCCCTTGTTATTCCTTCATCCTGTAGTCTCACATTCATGCATTAAAAAATTCCTAAACCCAACCCTATAAAACCCATCCGAGTCAAGTCTCAAAAACTGGGTGATCAAAAATATCTTATTTTTCTCCAAGGTGAAATTAAAGGCTTTGTACCTGCCAGGACCCAAGTTCATGGCTCAGTGTTTCTCCTGCGACAGTTGATGATGTTGCTTAATGGCGTAATCAACTCTTACCAGGGAAACCACAGAACCCTGAGCTCAGGTTTTGGCAGGTGAGTAAAGGAAAGTGGTTTTTGAGGAGGTGGTTTGTTTGTGTTCTAAGCCAGAAAGCAAAACCACAGCCCAGCCTGTCCCTGTGCAGCACAGCTGTGCCACACAGCCCTGGCTGTGCCTGGGGTCACCTCTGCACACCCTGACACGGGCATCCCAGTGTCTGTCACCCTCAGTGCTCTTGGGGACAGCTTTGAAATAGAACACAAGGTAAGCCAAGAGTCTTTTGAAATCCAACACAACAGCAAACCCCAGGATTAACTATAAAAATGGAGCGACAGGGCCTTTGTGCACTTTCTGATCCACAGTCAGGTTCAAAGTTGGGATAACTTCAAAGTTAGATCAAGTTGCTTGGGGCCTTAATAGTCTTCTCTATAAAACCTACTGTTGAGGTTTAAGCACTCAAACTAAAAATTTTAATTGGAGAGCTGCATCTTATTTGCCTGAAGACTGGTCTTTAGAAAACCAGTTCTCAGTTTTCAGTGCTTCAGTGTGTGGTCTTGGGCCAGGTCATCTCCTTCCAAGGTGGGGGCAGTTCTAACACACCTGTTGAGTGAGTCCATCCCTGGGGAGGAATTTGGAGTCAATAGGCTGTCATTTCTAGGGAAGTAAGGGCTTGGGGTCCAAGACACAGTAATCTGATGCTGAATCTTGCTCAAAACCAACTACCACATGCCCAGAGGTGCTCCTGAAAACCCTTTCTCATCCATCCCCTGTCTGTAAAGCTGGTGGTCATCTCAGAAGGAGTTGCTCTGATCAGAAGGGAGAGGTTTGTATCTAAGTGCTCAGGTCTGTACGAAAATAATCCAGGAAACAGTTTCTTCCTCTGGCAGTTTCAGCCCCACTGGAGATCAGTGAGGGGCCTGGGCTGCCCCACCCTGCTCATGGCAGGCAGGCAATGCCTGCTCCTGGCTCCACCAGCACAGCACCAGGGATGCCAAGCCTGCCACGAGGCTCTGAGAGCAGCAGGCAGGACAGCCTCATACTGGAAAACATTTGGAAGAAGATGTGCTTTACAAGTTTAACAGTCCTTCTGAACTGGGATTACCCTTACTGGGGATTTGGAGAGAATCCAGGGTAATGCACAGGTGGACAGAATGAGCAAACCATTTAAAGTGCTTGTTTTTGGTTTTTTTAATGAAATAGGGTGCTGGAAAGTGAAGAAGGAAGAAAAGGATACTTAGTCTATCCCACCAGCAAGAACCACAGTTCCAGTCAAAAAGGGAGGAAGGCATCACTGAAGGGAAATGGAAGGAGGATTGACTATATGCTGTACACAGAGGAAGGTCTCTACCTGGAGTGGAAAGTGGTGAGTTTGTGACTTGTCAAAAAGAGCTGTAACTCACACAGCAAACTTGTCTGAATGGCACTGTGGCCTGTTCTGCTTGGATTCAAATCATACTCCAAGGAGGACCTGCTGCTTTGCTCTTTTCCACTTTTGCATGCAAGTACTGAGTTTGGAAACCTACTACAAAGGTAAGCTGAGCTCAAGGATTCAGGCAACAATACTGGTAGATGTGCTGCTCTTCCAAACTCACCAACCAACCAACCAACCAACCTCATTTTCACTCCTTACACTTCTGCCAGACTTGAGTGTTTTGCCAGATGCTTTTCCTGTGCCTGCAGTCTGAATATTTTTTAATCTTTTCAAGGGTCTGGATGTTCTTTTGTGCCTGTGAAAACCCCCCCAAGCTCCCACTCTGGGATGCACAGGCAGCAGCTGCCACGAGCTGCCCAGAAGGAGAACTTGCAGGGTGCAGTCTGCTTCCTAGAGTAGGACCTTGCCAGGATTGTAGAGAATTCCATGATGGAAATGAGAAGCTCATTCACACCTCTTTAGCACTGCAGCTGCTGTAGAAGAGCAGGCAGCAGAGCAGTTCAGCACAGCTGAGTGCAGGATCCCTCGGTCTGTGCTCTCTCTGCACGTGCTCTGTGAGAGCAGCTTGGCAGGGAAATTCTTGTAAGGCTTCCTGTTTCAGAGGCACAAATGCCCATGGCACACCTCTATGGTAAATCCATCGTACAAACATGAAATGATGCCAGAACAATGGCTGGAATGCAGAGACAGAAGGAGCAGGACTCCTGATTGCATTACATTCCCACCCAAGCTGAACACCTCAATCCAAGGAAGGCAGGTTTCCTTTTTAGCTGCATGCCCTGCCCAGGATGGTAGAGCCAACCCCTCCTCCCAGCTGAGGGCCTCCCTGCATGCTGGGATAAATCTGCCAGAACAACAAGCTGTTACTGTAAATGGCAAGAAAAGGTTTCATCCTGCCCAGTTCAGCTGGGTCCCCTGTCAGTGGTTCACCTCAGCAGCTGCCCCACACGGGCTGTCTGTATGGCACAGTTTATCCTGAGCCCAGCCAAGCCAGACTGCTCCCACACCTCTGCCAATACTCTGAGGTAGTTCAAAGCCTGAGTCCTGGTGTGTGCTGGAACAGACAGGTTTTTCAATTCCTTTTCTTACTTTTGTTTTCCTTTGCAGGAAGTGGAAGAGTTCAGCTTCATTACCCAGTTAGCAGGCTTGACAGACCACCTCCCGGTAGCAATGCGACTCATGGTGTCTACAGGAGAAGATGATCCTTAAAACTGACCAGCTTGGAGAATCAGAAGAGGGAAACATTAATGATATTTTAAAAATATCAGAGGAGAAGAGCGAACTATCCTGGTGCCACGTTAGGAAAGGTGACCAGACCTGACCTGGGCTACTCCCAGAATGTACCAACAATGTGGATTTAAAAAGGGAAGAAATGGAAGGGGTTGTGGCCAAAAGCCACTGTCACAAGTTGCTCAGGCAACAGGGCAGGCCTGTACTACAACACTGTCACTGTGGACCGAACGGAACCAAGATGGAAGTCCTAATTCCTTCTGAACCAGTGCCATTCTTACTCAAACATGTTTTTATACTAATATATAGCACAATTTAGTTTGTAATTAGTCTGTGAGTTAGTGCTGCTCGATGGTTTTGCATCATTTCTTTGTCTGAGAAGCTGAAGCTTTGTCTCTCCTGCGCTCGCAGCAGCCGCATGGCCCGCCCTGCATGAGCTCCACACACAGCCCTGAGGGCTCCAAACACCCACAGCCAGAGCCATTCTGGGACTGCAAACCCTTCTGGCACTACAGATAGACCAAACAACAGCTCTCTTCAATTTGCAGACCAATATCTTCCTGTCTGAGTTATGGACACACAAAAGATTTGGAATTAAGACTTTAAGAACACAGTTCTACCCTTATTCCAGCTGTGTTCCCACTGAAATTATGAAGTGTTTTGTCTGAATGATGACTCCAGAATCAGGCCTTCAGCTTTCTAAATGCAACTTACTCCCTTAAGAAGAAACATAGTTTCCCTGTAATGTCTTTTCTTTCTTTCCATGTGTGGGACAGTTCTGAATTATGATATGGGATATGTATGTTACAGTAGAGTGAATAGATTCCTGTAGTACCATTGGTAACACCAGAGCCAACATTCTGCCTTAGCTAGAAAGGGGAAGTGGGAAATGGATTGTAAAATGCATGCTAGATATAGAGTAAACATAAACATAAGTGACATTTGGGGAGAAAGAAGTGTAGAGCAGTGTATGATTGGTAAGGCAGAATAACCTGACAGTTCTCTAAAGGAATCAGTGCACTGACAGGGGAAGTGTAGCACAGCCAGCTCGAGCAGAGCTGGGACTCTGGGCCTTAGGGAACTGCTTCCCAGGAGCAGAGGCTGTTCTGTGTCTGAGACACGACTCTCCATTGGTTGTGCATCACAGACTGCAAGAGGGGTCTTGCCATCTGACCTACATGTTCTTTCCACTACAGCTCCTCCAGTGTGGGGCTCCCCTCTGCCATCTGCCCATGGCCTGACCGACCCAGCCTCTGTAACCTCTACAAAAAGAATGAAAAACTGAGAATCAGGTCCATAATGAGACTTGGCATTTTTGGGGAGGATTTAATTTCAGAGGGTTTGTGTTTTGAGAGAACAAGGAAACCCCCTGTGTTCTAACCATTACTTAGTTTGTTCTGCCTATGTCGTGTTAAATTTTAGTGCTATTTCCTCTTACATTACAGATTCCCTGTGTTAAGAAGAGTTAATCCAATATTTGACTTACTCCATTAAGTAACCTGTTTTAGTTATGCTGACCACAAACTCCTGAAGATGCTCTTGTTTTGGTTTAGTTTACACCTGCTAGGAATCAGCTTGAGCTAAATCTGAATAGATTTAAATTAGAAATCTCAGTCTGCACAGTCTCTGATACTGGCTTAGTTAGCTATGGTAAACAACAGAGCTTTTACTTAAATCAGCCTGATTTTGCAAATAGAGAAACTCTTAATAGTCATGAGAGTGCAGGACTAACAGTATTGGCTAATTCCAAGTAGGCAGTAGGGCCACTGCTCCCACTCTCCTGGTCTTGACACATTTTATGCCTCATTTTCCAGTCCCAGGGTCCCTTGAGCAGAGGCTGCCTCTTAAAAGTGTGCTGTGCCAAACCAGGGGTGATCTGCAAGTAACCCATGGGGGACTCAGAAATGGAACCAGACTCAGTTCCCCTTTTTGATAAAATTAGGAATTCAAGTTTACAGCATCAGAGACTTGAGTGTACTACCCCTGTGCACCACCAGTCCCCCACTTTGTATGTCTGTCTTTATACAGAGGGTGCACAGATGTGCAATGTGTTTTTCTGGTTTCTTATTGCTCCACCCAGTTCGGAAAAACTTGTACCCAAACCAATGCTTTTTAATCCTATTTTCTACCTTACTTGTATTTTATTAACCTTTTTTAAAAAATCCAAACAGTATCGTAGCAATGTGTGTGCTGTCCAGCAGCTATTTCTCAGTAGTAAAACTAACTACACTATTTTTAATAGTTTTCCTAACAATGTAAATTACAATTTGATATCAACTTCACCAAGTATCAGTTGCAGGAGCTGAATTTGACACTGTGTTGGATATAAACATGAAACTACTGCCAAACAACGTTACATTATTTACAGTAAAACTAACATGGTCTAAATTACCTTAAAAGTCGTTCTGTGGCTTTGTGCTGACTAAAAATGAGACACTTTTGTCAACTTCTTGAGATATATTGAGAAATGTTTTTTTCAAATTGGAAGTAAAGTGTTTTAGATTTTGATGTTTCCTGGTTTCTCAGTGCTCAAGAACAGCCTAGTTGTAAATGTTCTCTTACACAATACACACACAATTAACCAGTCTCAATAGTTCTTTCTAATTCACTCTTAGGGAATGGAACTTTGCCAGAGTGATGCTGGAGGTGCAGCACTGTGGTACCACTGGACAGATGCTCCTTGGTTTTTCAGGGTCTCCTGTGCCTTTCCATGTTTGCAGGGGTCAGGGAGTGTCTGTCCAGGGGAGCTGGAATGAACAGGCTTTCCCTTCCAGGGAGGACCTCCAGGACAAAAATGAGTTTTGTCTCCACCACTGCACCCACCCCAGTTCCCTCAGACCCCCAGAGTCCCTCCCCAGTGCCTGTACAGGACATCAGTCACCACCAGCCTCAGGCAGATACTGTGTCACAGAATATTTGCACTGAAGAGAACAACAAAGGGAGGGCAGGGCTGGGTGTGAGAACATGCCAGGAGATCAAACCCTGGAGAGTTTGTTTATATGTCAATTCTCTTTACTTATGGATAGCATGACCCAATTTATTAGTAGAATGTTATTTATAAGAATTGGACTTAAGCTTCCTGTCCTATGCTTACCCACTTTGTGCTGGGATTTCAGGCATCTTCTAGAAGTGGGTGATAACGCTGTTCTTGGTTTAGTGATGCACCAGGGACACTGCAGAGCAAGTGTCATCTTTTTATAAAAAGTATAGAACATCTCCTGTTTCTCATGTTCAATTTGCATTTTACAACATCACTTCTAGAATAAGTGAACAAAAGACACAAATGAGGACAGTCAAAAAGTAAGCACTTCAGAAGTGTTCAGGGTGTCAGGTCCTGACCAAGTCATAACTTTAGGTCACTCCAGAACACTCCCTAGAGAACGTGGCCTCTCAGGCACATCCAGCTCCAGTCAGTCCATGGATCCACTGGCTCCACTCCAGCTCAGCCACTGAGCACCAGGGTGGGAACACCCAGCTTTGTGCTGTGGGCAAAGGCCTTTAACCAATTCCAGTGGTGCCCAGGGGGTTTGTTCCAGCCCAGGGGGTCTGTCCCAGCCCAGCCTGGGTGCTGGTCAGAGCTGTCCAAGCCCCCAGCCCCCCTGCCCCAGCCTGGCTCCCAGGCTCTGCCCTGCTGGCTGGAGAATGAGTTCACCTGCCCTGTGCCAGTATTGTGACACAGTTTTATCCCAGGAGCACTCCCAGTCAGGCTGGCCAGACCCTCAGTCCTGCTTGTTGGGTAAGACAGTGAGGTTTAGGGAACATACAATTCCACTGAAGATCCTTCTTTCCCAAGGCCTCTGTCTGGTCTGTGCCCGGTTTGGTGTCTGAGCTGCTGTGGGTCCCAGAGCAGCACAGCAGGGTCAGCACATATCATCAGCTCACAAATGAAGTGGTTTGGCCTCCTCCTGGCACTACAGGATGAGAAGAGAAATACAATTCAAGCACTTTGAAAAGCTCCCAATTTTATCATTCATTATGAGGGTCAAATTGTTACTGAAGGTCTCACTTTTCCATGCCATCTTATTTTCAATATAATCTCGATGCTTTTAAAGACTTGTAATATTGCTAAGGTTTAGAAATCCTATAATAAGAATAACCTTTTTTATTTCAATGATTTTTTGGTATTGTATCCTTCTGGAACCTAATGTTTTTATATGGTAAGCACACACCTTCCAACATTTTGTTAAAAATGTACGAAAAAAAAGAAAAATTTAAATATTTTCATTGGTTTCTTTATCTGCAAGAAAACCACAATCGCAGACCTGATAAAAACAAGGTATTTTAAACAATATGGAGGGGTTTTTGTCTTCTATTGGTGCTGAAAGGAATAACTGGTTGATGCAAACAAGGTAATAAAATTTCAAGGCTCAAATGATTCTGTGCAGTTGCTTTCTCTGGTTTTATGATGTGGAGTCTGATGTCACTAACAGAAATCTGACTCCAAATCCCAGGGTGATCAAGTGGGTGGGTCAAGTACAGCCCCACTGTGCTACAGCTGTACTGGTGAACCTGCAGAAAATAAAGGGGGAAAGAAATGAGTCCTTTTACCTCTCCCTCCCCTGCCCAACACCCTGCCCAGACACCCCGGCAGTTCTGAGCTGTGCAGCTCCAGGGAAGCGTTCCCAGAGCCTCTGCAGGTGCAAACCTGACCCTGCCTCACACCCAGGGCCACACTGGAAGGCCAAGGGTGTGCAGTCCCCCTGCAGCCTGGCACTGCTCACCAGCAGCAGGGCACTGTGCAGCTGTAGGGCTGGACCCCCAACAGTGACCTGCTCCCTGAACCAAGGGAGAGCAGGTTTTATCTTTATGCTTTCAGTCAAAGAGAAAAAGCACCCCCATGACCCTGTACATATGTCCTTAAGAAATCCAAACACAGGATAACAAAAGTAAAAAAATAACAAAACAAGCCAAGGGAAAAATATCCCTTTGACTGGTTTAGTCTTTCTGAACAGTCCTCAAAGTCCTTCATAAAAACCCTTATTTTTTCCACAAGCAGAAAGGAGAAATCAGTGGAATGCAGGTGATGAGGGAGGAGCACAGTGCACAAGGTCCTTGTCATGGGCTCAGGAAGGAACCACTCCATCCTGTGGGACAGGTCGTTAGAGGGGCAGTGAGTGGGAACGGATCCTACCACAATAAACAGAGAGAGATGAGCATGATGAAGGGAAGATGACTGGAAATTAGGTAATTAGGTACCTTTGTTCTCATTAGAGGTTCATGAACTTCTAAAAGAGCATAGGATTGTCAGTTTGAACACTGATGAAGTGTTCAAAAGCCCTGCTAAAAGCCACTGTTACCTTGGGGTAACATCCTCTCAACCTTTTCAGATCTAAGTCAAGTTCTTTGTAACCGGTTCTTAAACACCTTTCCAAGGCCAATCCAGAATTTTAAGTACCCTGCAAAATCCAGCTGGACCTTTCCCTACCCTTAAAAAACTCCTCCTGAAGTCAACTGCTACACTGTCTCCAGCTTCAGCAAAGCCAACAGGGAAGGTTTTATATTGCTTATTAAGGACCTCCAGGATATCAGGGAACAAAAGGCAGCTGCAAGGTCTGCAGGACACCACCCGAACACAAATCCCCCCTCGCAGGGTGCCAAGCACTTTGCTACATGGATTCCTAAGAAAGGTGCCTCACACAAGACAAACTAATTCTCAGTACAAAGCCCGGCCCATTATCTCAGCCCCAAAGTAAGACTGTTATGAAACAGGTATTTTAAACTCTGTTTTCTGTTACTCCTTGGTTTCATCTGATTTCTCTTTTCCACATTTGCTGAGAAGATATTTATATACAACACACTCAGACTTTCAACAAAACGTGTCTTGTATGCCACAATCAGCACATAAGAAGGACTGTAGCTACTTCTCTAATTATTAGCTCTGTGTCACTGTTGAACTAAGGGTGCTTACCCTGGTGAGATCCCTTTGCCCACAGCTGACCTGGAGTGTCCTCCCAGCTCAGTGCAGAGACCTGAGCCTCCCCATCCTGCAGCTCTGTGCTCCACTGGCAGAGCAAATTAGAAGCTGTAAATGGAGCATTTATGATACACTGGCTGAAAGAAATGCTGAGTCTGGTCAAGTGCTGGGCAATGGCTCCAGACCAGTACAAGAGGTCCTTGTCCAGGCCTGGATTCCTGGGCTCACAATTAGAAGAAAGTTTCTGACCACAAGACCAGACAAGTTCAAAAGCAGCTTCCAAATGACCACAATGGCATGCAGAACAAACAAACAAAAATTCCTCTCTGAAACCCCAATGCTTTTAAAACAGAGCTGACTGTATTTTTAAAGGGTTTCCATGCATGAGCCCAACTACAGGAAGGGACAACACAGAACAACCCAGAAGGTCCCACTTGGTCCCATCTTTGGTTTGAGCATGGGGGAAAATACAGCATTTCTTCTGCTTCTGGGTAAGGCTTATTTATAAGTACAAGTAAAATTATCTGTTTGGGACCTTCAATTTAACCTTGAAAAAAACCCACTGCTATTTTAATTCATGTTTTAAACATGGACAGAACTGGAGCTTCCCAACAGAAACTCTTCCAGTATGAATACCTGCTTGTCAAGGCTCTATGCAAGAAGACTATTTAAAGAATAGGGGGCAGGGGGGATGGAAAGAAAAGGAATGGAAGGAGGAGATACTTGATCTGCAGACATACTATAAAGATAGGAGAACATCTAATAAGGTTTAAAAAAAATGCAACAAAAAAAGTCAAGAGCATTAAGATTAAATGGCCCTCAGTTATTTGGGAAACATTCCACAGAATGTACATTGCTGACTAGTTTTGTTGGTGAGAAGCATGACTACACCTTGCCTTTATTTTTAGAGATGCTTTTTTTGTTAAATCTTATTTTAAATATAATTATTTGATTAGTTGTTGCCCAGCCAGCCCAGGGAATGCAAATACAGACTGTCTCAAAAAGAGAGCTTCTAGGGGAGGTAAACAATGGAGCAGTGTATCTAGTTCCCAGCTGGAGGCAGAGACACAAGTGGAATATTCTCCCTGCAAGCAAAGGGATATGGGCAGCAGCATCCAAGAAAGCAGCAGGAAGCTGGCAGTGGATATAAGGCACTGCTTCAATCTGAGCAGATGATCTCCTGTGAGAAAATACCTTTCTCTCTGCAGGCAGCTCCAAGGCCTGGCTGAAGGGCACAGAGCCAGAGCAGGAACGGCCCCACTCTAACTGGGGACACGTCCTGCCATCGAGGGAGCCTTCAGAGAAAGAGAACTGGACACACAGCACCTCAAAGGGCCACAGCACAGCCTCAGCACAGAGCTGCTGTGCCACTGGAACAGGGGACACGCTGCCAACCAACCTGGACATTGGCACTGCTGCCAGAGCCCCAGCAGCTCCACAGGACACTCCCCGGGGTCAGGAGGAACTGCTCAGGAGATCAGCAATAATATAGCAAATTATTCCTGTACCCTGTTCCTGTAATCCCCCAGCCTGGCAGCACAGGCACAGCACACCAACTCAGGGAGACACTGGCCTTGAAGAGCTTCCTGTCTGTGACAAGCACAAAAGAAAATACCCCAAAATTAACTGTTCTGTTAGTACACACCCACGAAACCTATGGAGCAGAGCACTCTGCTACAACAGACATAAAGCCTGCTCTGTATTGAAATATGAAGACATAGTCTTTCCTAGATATTTCTCTTCCTTCCTCCCTTTTTGAAAACTTTTTTGATGTATGTTGCAAGGTCCATGCCAAGATAATGCAGGAAAAGGTGAAAATGTAACATTTAATATAGAAGTTGACTCATTCAGAGCACTGTGCAACACAGAGGGACCTGTCAGGTTTTGTTGAACACTAGTCAGTATTCCACAAAAAGAGAAGGGCCAGTTGTGGTGAGAATCTAAACACCTGAAATCTAAAAAGAAATTTATTTAATGCATGAAGGAGAAGCCTTAAGCAAGGCCAAGGCTCAGTAAGAAGTAATGCCAACAGGGTCACCTAAGGGACCATCACTTACATTCCATTACCAGAATGAAACTACTCCACTTGGAGTCCAAAGACCATTTTAACCACTCAGAAGAGAACACACCACCAGAGACAGCTGTACATGTAGGCAGCTGAGGCTGTTTTAAAACAAACCAGGGATGACCAGACTTTAATATAATGAACACTTCTCCTGAGTTTTTAGTCTTGCATGTACAGATTACAACAGATTTAACCCTAAATTTAACCCACAACTGAGCTCTGCCACTAATATTTTCCTTTTACACTACATTGCCCTCTCCCTTCTTACTCAAGCATGGAAAGCAAAGATTCAAATGCCATACATAACATGGAAAGGTATCTTTAAAAGGGTGCAGAACCCACAGAAACCTATGACATATGGTTTGCCTTTGTGTCAGTCAGCATGACTTGAAAAACAGCTCTTCAGACTTGTTTTGTTATTTGTAAAGACATATCTAGGAAAAAAAAGGTTTACAGCAAATTAGACCTAAAAGCAACTAGACCTAGAAGCACAATCTCAGCAGGAGCTGAGTGATGCTAAAACAAACAAACAAGGTAGCCATTGTTTTGTACCTCTGAAGAAAGAGGCTGAGCATGTTCAAAACATTGTTTCTTCTCTGTAAACTTCCCATTCAAAGGCCACAGGATTACAGCTCCACTCAAAGGAAACAGGCAAGGAGAGGTATTATGGGGAACTCCAACAGCATCAGCTCAGGAGGTACCACTGCTGCCTGAAAACAGCAGAACACAAGCAGTCAATACCAAAGCCACTGCCTTGGTCCGCGGCACAATGTCCCAGGGTAAGGACAGGACACACGTGGGGCAGAACAGCCAGCAAAGTGTCTGGGGGGAGTTTGCTTTGCACACCAGTTCTGGGTGTGTGCCTGGTTCCCTCAGGGTGGACTCACACCCACACTCAACAGGAACTCTTGTTTCTCAGGCCCCACCACTGCTTGCAGAACACAGCTGGCCTCTCCCCACCCCTCTGCCCCCGGGGCTGGCAGCAGGTGCCAACACACCTCACCTCAGGTGGGACACTGCCCGGTGTGCTGGGACATGCAGGCAGGGCAGGGCAGGGATCAGCCCCACAGGAATCCCAAGGAAAGGGGCACCAGGGCTGAGAGACTCGCTGGAAGGGCCGCCTGTCCCTCTCCTGCTGCACCGGGAGGCTGCACAGCAGCTGGTTTATTACAAATCCTGCATGTGCTCCCAGCCCTTTCCACAACATGAGGGTGTGTCACCCTATATCATCAGCCCTGGGGTATAAATGACTTTGCTGCTGCCTGTGAGGCAGGCACGAGATCATACATGTAGACCTGCTGCACAGTCACTGCAACCATTCCTAGAAACACTGCAGCTGAGAAGAAATATGACATTTTCAAGTGCTGCAGTGAAGGCTGTTTGTCCCTCCTTCCCT